TTATTTTATATGTATGAGTGTATTGCCTGCATGTAGGTAAGTGCACCCGTGTTGTGCAATGCCCGTGGAGGACAGAAGAGGCTGCTGGATCCCCTGGAACTGGAGTTACGGACAGTTGTTAGCTGCCATGTGGGTGCTGGGATTTGAACCCCAGTCTTCTGCAAGAACAGCCAGTGTTCTTAACTGCTGAGCCATCTCTCCAGCCCCCCAAAATTATTTTTAGAATAGCTAAAAGAAGTTTTTTCTGTTCCTTAGATGCTTTATTCATTCAAGTTCCTATTATGTTTTCATGTCTTCCTGTTGAAAATCCTACTTTAAAAATGAGCTACTCATATTTTTCTACTGTTGTTCCTAAAATAAATTATAGTGTAATGATTTAATCACTTAAAATTTAAAATCTCCATCACAAGTAAGTAAATGTGTACTTTGAATTCCATTACTTCCTATCACTACCAAACTAAAAGTCAAGGAGAGAGAGGAACTGTTAGAGTTGTAGATAAATTGTACCATTAAGAGTCTCTACAATTGCCATCTAAATCTATATGCTGGGGCTCAGTAGACTCTAACTTAACTTTCTAGTTCATTTCCCTCTGTTTACTCATTCTTCACTTCAACCAAACATGGGATTTGCTAGTTTTGAGCTTTTGGTCTTCCTGGCTGCCCCACTTATACTGCTCATTTTTATTCCTGACATTTTTAAGATGCTCTATCACAGGCACACAGAGGATTGACAGCTGCCATCAACACTGTTTAAGACTGTCTCCTGGCGGAACCCACCAGAGGGAATTCTCTACCTCGGTACATTCACTACTCTAGGGTCTAGCCTCAGTCTGCCATCTCAGAAGCTGATCTGACAGTTCCCTGAGAATATACCTGTATACCCTAAGCAAATTCACAAAATAATACACAAAATCAAAATGCCAATTCAATATGTGGATAGATTTATTGGTGCATTTTCTCTTTTTAATTAGCTAACTTACTGATTTACAATAAGTTTATTTTTCAGACCTATACCTACAGACTTCCACAGGAGGGATGTCTTTGTCAAAATGAATGCCTTTGCCTTAAATGAATGATCACCAGGAAGAGTATTATTGCCCTACTTGATTTTTGTTTGTCTTTGCTTTCTTAACTGATCAACTGTCCTTTTAATTGGCATTTTTTTCCTTATCTTTCAAGGAGTAAGGAGTCCCACACCTTCATGTCCTTATTTTAGTGCACTTACCACCATTCCCAGATCATTAGAAACACAGCACAGGTCAAAATAAGATCTTTTTCCTACTAAAAATTTAGGTTTATAGTTATGGCAGGGAACTTATGAAATGGTAGAGAAAATACAGCGTGCAGAGTCAAAGAACGGAGGTCAAGGCCCCTTGGTCTTCCATGGTGCTGTCTACTCAGCTCCTCTGTTTTCCTCCGTCTGGAACTTTCCTTCTCACTTCAATGACTTGCTTAATTTGTCTTTGAATTCCATGAGTGGATGACTCTCCCTTTTTCCTAAGCAATTCAACTTAGATTTCAGTCACTTCTAAAGTGATATGGTTTCAAACAGCACCTTCCTTCTTCATTTACTACACATGAAGAGTCACATCTGTCACCTGTCAATTTCATCATGTTTAAATGAGATAACATTCAGCATGCTGAAAAAAGTAAGTTACTCAGGGTACTGTGTTCAATGTACCTATATCTTCAAAACTCTATTTGTAAGCCTGTATTCCGTTCATTTACTATGAAATCAACAAAATTTGCACTTTTAAGGTCATACAGTTCTCTACTTTCACCTTAGCTCTGTGATGAAGTGCAATACAACAATGCCTATTTTTATTCTAGTATTTTTAAATTACACAGATGTGCCATTGAGAGCTCTTCTACTTTTCCATTTTGCATTTTCAATGAGTTTCTAACCATTTATTTTGTATTTAGGTTTATGAAATAAATAAAAGGACAAGTTTACTGGCAAAACTATATTTACCTTTACCTAACAAGACAGAACTAAGAGGCAAAGCTGTTTTGGAATACACAGAGTTTAGTTCTGATAAGATGGTCATACCTATGGCTGGAGAAGTGGGAAGCAGTGAGTGTGTTCAAAGTGTTTCCTCCCTTCACTTTTCTTTATGAGTGCCAAATTCTAAATGACCTGGGTCATATACATGAGTAAAGAATCCTAGCTGGCCAGGTAGGGTGGTACATAGCTTTAATCCTAGCCCCCGGGAGGTAGAAGCAGGTGGATCTCTGAAATCAAGGCCAGCCTGGTCCACATAGTGAGTTCTAGGACAGCTGGGGCTACAGGGAGACCCTGTCTCAAAAACTAAGCAAAATGAAACAAAATTCTAGTTGGATCTTGTGGAACATGCCTGATATTTCAACATTGAGAAGGCTGAGGAGGGTAGTGAATTCTAGGCCAGCCTGGGCTCCATTGGTATTTTTCAAGAAAAATACTATTTATAGTATTTGATTAAAAATAGATTGTTTAAAACTTTTTCTTGAATTAGGTCTTTGGGAAACTTAAACTTTGTCCTAAACACATGTGCTTTTCCTAGTCTATGCAAAGCAGAAACATTGTTCTTTTAGGAATGTGAGCTCTGCTTTGTGTGTGTGTGTGTGTGTGTGTGTGTGTGTGTGTGTGTGTGTGTATGTGTGTGTGTGTGTGTGTGTGTGTATGAGTGTGCATGTACATGTGTGTGCATGTTGAGGCCAGAGGTCGGTGTTGGGTGTCTTTCTCAATCCCTCTCCACCCGTTTTTGAGACAGGGTCTCTTACTGAACTTGGAGCTTGCCAGTTTGGCTAGGCTGACTGGCCAGAGAGCTCCCAGGATTGGCCTGTCTCTGCTGCCCCAGTGTTGGGATTACAGATGTGTGCCACCATGCCCAGCTTTTTACGTGAGTGCTGGGGACCGGAAGTCAGGTTCTTGTACTTGGATGGGCTAGCTCTTTGTTGGCTGAGCCATCTCTCCAACACAACACTCTGTGTCTGACTTCTCTTTTAGTTTCAGGGCATGAGTATTCTTTTTTTGTTTTTCAATTTGATTTGATTTTTTCCTCTTATGTTGTATGAGTGTTTTGCTTGCATGCATGTAAGTGCACCCGTGTCATGCAATGCTCATGTAGGTCAGAAGAGGGTGTTGGAGTCCCTGGAACTGGAGTCACAGACAGTTGTTAGCCACCATGTGGGTGCTGGGAACCAAACCCAGGTCCTCTGCAGGAGCAGTCATCCCTCCAGTCACCATGTCTGTGTGGAAAGTGGAGAGAAAAGGAGAAAGACTGCAAAGAGGTCAAAGGAAGACAGGCATTTTCTATTTATGTTTTTCAATGGACTTCACTGTTCTTATGCAATGAAGTATCACATGTCTGAGAACACGGCCATCCTCTCTTTCATCCTCTGGGTTTTTCATCTGTGTCTATCAGGTGAAAAAGAAGAAGGTATGGACAAGCAAGCAAGGAGAGAGAAGAAAGTAAGTAGGCAAAAGACAGAAAGTGGTTTAAGGGCTGGGCGTGGTGGCACACGCCTTTAATCCCAGCACTTGGGAGGCAGAGGCAGGTGGATCTCTGTGAGTTCAAGGCCAGCCTGGTCTACATAGTGAGTTCCAGGACAGCTGGGGCTACAGGGAGACCCTATGTCAAAAAGACCAAAAAAAGAGAAAGGACAGAGAGAAGAATAGTCAGCTTGAGTCCAGATGGAGCATAAAAATCTTATCTCCCTTAGGTACCTAAGAGATAAGACTGAGGACTCAAAACCCATGGGAACCATGGGAATGCAGCAGTAGTTTCAGAGTGTTGGTAAACACCCAAGACATTGAGAAAGAAAATGGGGAGAGGTAGGTGTGTGTGTGTGTGTGTGTGTGTGTGTGTGTGTGTCTATGCATGAGTCTGTGCCTGTGTCTGTGCACATGTGTTTGTGGGTGCCTGTGGAGGCCAGAAGAGGGTGCCAGATCCCTTGGAGCTGGAGTTGCAGTTGTTTGTGAGCATGATGTGGGTTCTGGGATCTGAGCTCTTGTCCTCGTGATTGAGCAGCAAATGCTCTGAACCACTGAGCTGTCTCTCCAGCCCCTCTCTGCTTCTTTTTCTGCTGTCAGTGGTCTTTTCTTACTGCAAGCCAGTTCTAGAAAGAATGGTTACAAAACCCTAAGGAGAGATACACATCTTTATTCAGCCCAATATTTTCCTCTCTTTCACAGTCTGTTTGGGGCAGCCCCTCCTTGCAGTGTTTTGGAGGGGAGATGAGGAGTGCTAAGATAAGAACTGGGGGTCCGGGACAGCTGTGTGCATATGCATGTGGAGGCCAGAGGTCAGCATTGGGTGTCTTCCTTGATGGCTCACCACCTTGTTTTTTTGAGATGGGTGCTTTCACTGAACCTGGAAATCCTCAGTTTTCCCAGGCTAGCTATCTAGTTGAGCTCCAGGGTTCCACCTGTCTCTGCTTCTTCAACTCTGGGATTGCAGACAGTTTTCGCGTGGGTTCTGGGTATCTGAACTTGTCCTCACTCCTGTACAGCAGGCATTTTACACACTGAGCCATCTCCCCAACCCCTCAAACTGTATGCACCTAATAAAGTAACGTATTTTAAATGCTTTTTGTTTTTTTTTTTAATGAACAGATGTGCCTTTTTATATTGTGGGAAATGAATCTGAAAAGCTTTGTCTTTTAACATCAGGAAAACTTAGCTATTCTTTGTCATGGGCTCTAGATGAAAATGGAATTCCTCTGACACCCATGTCACAGTCATTAAGATCTGCATACTCTAGGTAATTAACTTTTTATGACTGAAAAATAGTGCCATGTCTCAGAAAGGCAACACACAAAATATGTGTGTAGAAAGGGGAATGCAAGCAAAAGTAGAAACAGTTTAGATTAATTGAATGTTGACTTTATTTGAATCATTCCACCAAGGCAGTGTTTTTATACATAGGAGAATGTGTTTCTTCAGTGCCAAGGCTTACAGTCACATGGGCAATTAGAGAGGCGTTTCCGTAGTTCTTAACTTGTAGGCAAGGGCAAAAGGCTTCCAAAGATTTTTATTTCTGGAGATTTAAAAATTGCTAGTCATAATGGAGCACCAAAGAACCATTTATGTGTTATCATCTCAGTGGAAGAAAAAAATCCTAGAATTCTAGAGTGTGTGTGCAGTGCTCCATCCAGATGGTGAAATCTTCACTTCTCCAACTGGCGTTGAGCCAAGAGACAGCATTGCTATCTTGGTTGTAGAAATGACTTGATGCTGATGGGTATTTTGATACAGCTCACAGCTGAATATCTGTAGGGTATTTAGAGAAGTCACTGTAACAAGATTCTAAGGGTTTTTGTTATCTTATAAGGCAGAAATCATAAGGCTGTGGTTGAAATCCAATGATAACTTTCTTTACAAAAATAGTTGCATAAGTTTCTCTTTGAATCGATTCATGAGCCTTTAAGTTTTGCCTTAGCCCTGTGTTGCAGGGCCCACAGGCTAATATTGTCCCTAGAAGAAGGAACATTTGTTACAAGGTGGTATCAAGGGTGTTGGGTCCTAGAAATGTCTTGTGACAAAGACAGAAAAACAGTTCAACTCCAAGAAATAGAGAGTAAAGAAGAGGACTTGGACTTCACCTTTAATATGTATAGGTGCTTACACTCCACCATGTCATGGGACTTACCTGGACTTCACCTGTAATATATGTAACTGCTTACATTCCACAATGTCATAGGATTTATCAGCAATAGCTTCAGAACAGTCATCATAAAAATATGAATACATATTGATGAAAAGGAGACTGTAAAATGTGCATCCATGTTTGGGCTAAAACATTATAGAATCTATGTACAAACTACAATCTTGGAATCTCAATTTATAGATAGGAATGAGGAAAGATCTTATAATCTATTCCAAATTTTTCTAATCACACATGTTAAGTTAGTTATGAAAAAATTAAGTTAATTAATGGCTCCAAGTACGTACTATTTAGGGTTGAGTTCTTTCCGCTCTTAGCCTATAACTAAAGTACTAAGGATATATTATGAATCTAGCCTTCTTTTATAACCCCAATATTTGCCCCAGTGTTTGAAGATGATTTTCCATGATCACTGATACTTTTCAGCCTATACTGCCTACTTAATTGTGTTATTTTTTAGTTATATTTCAACTGTTAAAATACAATATAAAGTTCACATTTTTAATTTATAAATTTCCACATTTATTTATTTTGCTGGGGCAGGGGTGGCTACCTGTGCATGCCATAGCATCCATGAAGGTCATAGGACAACTTACAGAAGTGCTCTCCTTACACCACATGGATTCCAGGGATGGAACTCAGGTCACCAGACTTGCTGGAAGGCACCTTTACCCACTGAGCTATCCAACCAACCCCTAAAGTCCACTTTTTATATCATGTGCTTTCTTGATTTTGTTTAAGTGGCTATTTGGATTAAACTTTTTATTGTACATCACATGAAAGTGCACTTAATGTGTTACTGTGCTTAGAACTTTAAAGAACATATCCAAACAGCACTGTTTACTCCAGCATCTACAATATTCTAGTTACTCTGTAAATAGGGGATGGCACAGATGAATATTTGTAGACACTTATTAAGCTTCTTGTCTCTTAAGGAAGAGTAGACATTTATCAGAAAGCTACAATAAAATTAGAATGTGAGAAGAATCAGGCAACGTATCATAAGTAGACATTCTATTCTAAATACAGGGTTTTCATGGATTTATATCTAAATTCATACTGTGGCTAGGTTTTAGCTTATACAACAATATGTAATCTGCGTATTGTATGTAGATTCTAAAATACTTTTTCCATATTAGTGTGCTAAGGAATGTTGATGCAAGAGGTGTTCCTGGAGTCCCATGGCTCGTTAACTCACAGAAACTTTGTGATTGGGCAAATGAAGTCAGGATCGATCCAAATAATCCAGAGTATTCTGATTTAGCAGAACTAATTATGGTACGTTTTAGCAAATATCAATACTGTAAATATATTTTATTTCCAAGTGTGTAGCCCTTATGCTGTTCCATTATTTGCTGCATATCTTTCTAGGCACTTAGAGTACATGTAAAGGTGAAAAAGAGGGCAGAGACCATTTTCAGTCAGCTTAGACGATTAGAAAGGCAATTGGAAATTCAACAACTGAAATAACTACTTCAGGCCTGATGGTTGGCAGACTAAGCTTAGGCTCACATCTGCTGTACATCTGTTACATGCCAACCACACTCTCAGGTTCTGAAGACACCAAAATGGCTTATCAGAGGACTTATGGATACACTCTTACCCCTGGGCTCCATTTTCTGGTCACTGCCCAGAAGGACACTCACAGTGGCTCTCCAATCCATTCTTCTAGTCTGGTATATGTATTCTGTCCATGTGATCCTTTTAACTTTTTTTTTTCAAGGTGAGACAAGGATAGAAAGTTTATGACGATGACTTGTAGCCCAGCCCCAGTCCTACCATTAATTTTAATTAAAAAATATATATTTGTCTTTTTGAGACAGGGTCTCCCTGTGTCTCCAGCTGGCCTGGCACTCCCTATGTAGACCAGGCTAGACTCAAACTCACAAAGCCACCTGCCTCTGCCTCCTGAGTGTTGGGATTAAAGGCATGTGCCACTACGCTGGCTAAAAATATATATTTTAATGTATATTTTTTATTGAATTTTTGTGCATTTCATATAAAACATCTTAATCATCTTTATACCCCATTCCCACCCTCCTATAGCCCCCCACCAGATTTCATGCATTTTGTCATATATGTTAAGATCTATCGAGTTAAGTTGGTGTACCCAGATATCCCACAATGCAAGCTCATCCACTGGGGTCTAGTCAGCCTATCTAGTGTCACTCCCTTAAGGAAGGTCAACTTCCCTCACCCAGCAGTAATCAGCTGCCAATAGTTCTTTTTTTATTGCGCTTTTAAAATTTTATACATTTCCCACTCAAATCTAGACTCCTTCCTCTGTCCATGCCTCCCTCTATGCCCCCACTGAACCCTATGCACTCTGTGGAAGAGGAGGCAGAAAGATTGCAAGAACCAGGGCTGGTTCATGAACATAAGGAGGTGGAGGCCTCCAGGTCACTGGAGGCTTGCACATGTGAGCCTGCCAATAGTTCTTCAGCTAGGGTTGGGGCTTGCTGCCCATTTCCCCAATTCTGTGCCAGGTTGAGTTTGCGTGAGTCTTGAGCATACTGACACCCTTGCTGTAGGTTCATACGAGCAATGTCCCAGGAGCCCATAAGAGTCCATTTCCTTATGGTTGTGCACCAAACCTGGCTTTTACCATCTTTCCACCCCCTTTTCCACAATGGTCTCTGAGCCCTGGGTGGGTGAAGTATTAATATAGGAGTCCTGTCCAGGGACTCACACTCTGCAGACTCTTATTCTCTATACTTTGGGCATTTCAACTTTTTGTTTATATACAATGTTAATATTTTTTCTTTCTATGTAAGCTGACCAGACAGGTTGGAAAACCATGTGAGTTGGATTCTGTATTGCAAGTCATATCTCCCCACAGGTCCAGTGTCTCCATTCCTACTTATACTCTGAGTCATACCTCACAGCTGAGGGAAAGAAAACAGCATTTGGAAATAACTCTTGAGTTAAAAGTAGTATCTTAAGTAAAGACCACTTTTTTGTGTTTTGCAGTATATGAGACACACAGAGCAGGAAATTCCAAAGTATTTCCGTATTGAACAATTGCAAGATGAATTTAACTTTGTTTCTGAGGAGGAAATGAAAAGGAGCAAACGTTTCCAGCTTTTACAACTTAGAAATGCAGGTCAGCTGGATCTTTCCCTTCTGCAGCAAATGCCCCTCTACGACAGAGAGATTCCAGATGTAGTCTTCCAGGTACTAAACGTATCTTCAAATACAGTGCATTGTATGAAGAGGTCAAAGTTGTGCTTCTTTGAACTTATCTTTGCCTGGCATGGCAGGTGGATCTCTGTGAGTTCCTGGTCTGCATAGCAAGTTCCAGGCCAGCTGGGGCTACAGGGAGACTCTGTTTAAAAACAAAACAAAACAAAAAACTATCTTAATTCTGTATCAATTTTGATAAGCAATAATCATAGACAGATTTTTCCTTTCTCTTTAGACATTGAAAACATCTAGTTTCCCAAAATCTTAAATCCCATTATCCTTTGCTTGATTTTACAACTTAGTGTTATACATACAATATATTTAATAGCCTAGATCCTTTAGGTCTATTCTAAATTCTATAGCCTAAACTGATTTTTTATCATAAAACATAACATCAATTTAACAGCAGCTTGTAGAGAAGTGAGAGGAGAAACACTACCATGTGCACTAGACACGGACTGTAAGACACATCTCAACTTTAGACTTTAAAATATGAAAAAGAGACAGGTTAGTCTTGTTTGGGTATGTGCTGTAGGCTGCTGCGCCCTGGCAGTGGACACACATTGTATAATCATTCCCAGTTGCACCTTCAGCGAGTTCATGCTGGTTGCCATCAACTTGCTGCTAGGGGAGTATTTGTGCCATAAATCAGCAAATGCTCAAAATTAGATATTTTTCTCACTTCAAAAGAACCTGCTTTTAAATGTTTTACCAGCACAACAGTAGTCTTATAGTACGGGAATTATAAGAGAGGAGTGTTGTGAAAATAGCCAATTGTAATAACCCTTGCACTGGAGCTTTCTAAGAAATATTTCAAAAAGGAAAGACTTATTTTTCCATTTCTAAAGAACATGCCTGTACAGTGAAATTACTACTTCAGGGTAATGTCAACCAATTTGAATAAAGATACCGGATTCTGATGTCCACTTAGCCATTTAGAGTATACACAAACAAAACTACACAGGGCCCATGTCATTATATTTAAAAACTCAAGTTGTAACAGAGCGTGCATATGGTTCTATCAAGAGAGTGTCACAGAAACTCCTTAGTTGTGGCTCAGAGACAAAACAAGAAATGAAAAATAATGACTTTTCTCATCTTCTCAATTATAGTTTTTTTCTCAATCATCACTCTGTTTTAAAAGATGGATGGACTCCCCTACAGAAGCAGATAGAACATAATCATGGATGGTTTTTTTAACTAGTTCTTAGTGGGAGCATCAGAAAGGAATGCTTTCTTTTGAGAAATGTTTGCCATTGTCCCCTCACACACAGACTGAAAGGACCAGCAGTGTTTTTATTGCAGCACATCATACTTGACCCCTTTGTCACATTCATGCAGAACTAACTTAATTCTCTGTTTAGGAGTATGAAAGTCAGGTACAGAAGGACATGTCTGTTTCAGATGTGAATTCTATCACTGCCCAAAGGATTCATTCTGTCAGTTTCCTGAGAAAGGTAACAATGACATTGCATGTAAACATATTTGATTTTGTTTTGTGAAAACTGATCTACTGGGTACATGGTGTACATTCTTTGTAGAGAGTTGGATGAACACCTCGCTTCAGACTTCCTTTTCAGAATTATTTACTTCACCGTCAATGAACTCATTGTGAAAGCTCATCCCTATTTTCTCTGTTTAAGTGTGAATGCTGCAAAGCCCTGCTTAATCAGTACAGGTGTAGTTTATCCATCTTCACATCTTTGGCCTTGTCATACTTTTAAAAAGGTTTAGGATATGCTTTAAGCAGGAGTTTTCCATATGGGAAATAAAGAAATGTTTTTGCTCATGACAGAACTCAGATTATTCTTCCTCTTTTTCTTCTTTTTTATGTATGGGGAAGTCCAGGAGGGAAGTGACCAGGATCTCCCCAAGGGTAAGAGAGGGAGTGCTGAGGATGCTTGAGAGGCATAAATGAATCCCAGTAAGGAGCTTTAAGAAAATGGTGTAGTAGCCGGGCGTGGTGGCGCACGCCTTTAGTCCCAGCACTCGGGAGGTGGAGGCAGGTGGATCTCTGTGAGTTCCAGGCCAGCTGGGGCTACAGGGAGACCCTGTCTCAAGAAGAAAAAGAGAGAGAGAAAGAGAAAAAGGAAAGAAAGAAAGAGAAAGAAAGAAAGAAAGAAAGAAAGAAAGAAAGAAAGAAAGAAAGAAAGAAAGAAAGAAAGAAAGAAAGAAAAAGAAAGGTATAGATTTCTACTTCTGTGAAGACTGCTATCTGAGGTTATGAGGTTAGTGTAAACCTACAATTTGGTATACTATAATAACAGATTATTAATTAGCTAGTTAATTAATAAAATATAATAACTGATCATGGAAAATTTTGACCCTGGAGGCCTACTAGGGCCAGAGATATCTACCCTTCCCTTTGTTAGAATATTCTGTTGATGTTGACTCTGTTGATGTTGACTCTGTGACTTAGGGGTTCCATAGGAGAAACTCACAGGACTGTGAGTCGTATGCACTAGATCTCTGTTGTGTCATTGGCACCAGTGGCAGCCAGGGCCAAGATTATAGCTGGAGAATAGAATCCCGGCAGTGTCAAAGAGGACTAGGTAGTGTTTTGCTGCAATGATTGACTCTAAGAAGCTAGTGTATTTCTTCAGTGTTCTTCTTCCATTAGGTTATTTAGTGACTGTGGAGTACCTGCTGTGAGTTCTGACCTCCTGGAGTTGATAGTCTAGTAGAAGTCATATCATAAACAAAAACTTATGTTTGAGAGCATGAAACATGCTAGGGAAAAAATTAGAAATTGAGGACAGGCGTGTGTGTGTGTGTATGTGTGTGTTTGGGGGTTTTCAACTTTAAATAAGATGGTAAGGAAAGAAGCCCATGAGAAGACAGCACTTCAACTCACTCATTTAGAACTAAAATGGGCAAGAGAGCCAGCCAGGGACTTTCTGGGAAAGAACATTCCAGGCCAATACAACCACCTGTGAGAACTGAAACAAAGCACCTGTGGCCTGTGGTAGAAACAGCAAGGAACCCAGTCCTGCAGGATACTAAGAAAGACAGGGAAACTGAACACTCCTGGGACGGGGGGGGGGGTTCAGTTCATTCTTAGGGTGACACTGTGCTGCCTGTGTTACAAGGTACTTCTTCCCAGTCTTCCATCACTCCATTTCCTAACCAGATCAAGCAGTTGACCAGACTTTGGGTTGCATTGTCTCCAGAATGATGTGTGTGGGTCAGAAAGCCAAGAGTTTCAAACCAGATGCTTCACTTCTGGGCTTCAGGTCTGGAAGCCTACCCTATTAGGAAGGAGAGAATTAGAGGAGGGAGGAAAGGGTTTTCCCAGACTATCATAATCTTTTGAAGAATAGAGGTTTGAGCCAGGTAGAGTGATGCACATCTATAATCCCAGCACTTGGGAGGTTGAGATAAGATTGAGAGTTCAAGGCCGGTCTGGGCCACTTAGTAAGAGCTATGTCCGCCTATGTGGCATAGTGAGAGCCTGCTTCAAAAAACAAAAGTCAAGGTCTGTAGCAGCAGCAGAGGGAAGTGGCTCTCTAAGCACCGAATTTCCTGCCGAGCTGATGGAATAGGAGTTGCAAGTTAACATAGGAGCCACTCAAAGGAAATACAGAAGTGCAGTCAGATTCCTTGAACCCGTAGGTCAAGATTCATGTGGATTACTTGTGGCTGTTGTAGAAATGAGTTCATATGACAGTCATCTCCTTCATCTGGTAAACACTGGGTCTGGCCATGATGCATACTGTGAGTTAGGTAGAAAAATCCAAGCGAAGGATTTAGGAAAGATGAAATGGATGAGAAGGGAAGACTGTGGAAAGAACTTGCAATTTTTTAATGTTAGGCTTTGGTGCAACAGAGTAGATTGGGAATGACCTTAATAATTTTATTTTCACTTATCTAACTCCTTTTCCACTCACATTTGAAGAACAAGAGGTAAAATATAGTAGCACCAGAAGCATTTTGAGCATGTAACCTTAAATATAAATGCTGCAATTCTATTAACTTCTGAATTTTTTTAGGTGAGAAGGTTGATAATGAAAAGACTCATCAAAGTTAGTAAATTTAACTTGTCAGATATTGTGGCTGACTATGAAGAAAGTGTGTCTACAAGGTACTATTAAAATGACTAAGTATGAAATGTAAAACTTTAAGCTAAGTCTTCAAACTCCTCTGAGTTCTCTAATTTTTAATACTGTGTCACCTGTCAAAACTGCAGTTTCAGAATACAAAGTGAGGTATGGAACAAAATACATTTGGCCACTTTTAAAGTTGCATTTCAGATGATCTACCTGACATAGTTTTAATTTTACAATATTTTAAGGACATTTTCTCTTTCTCCTTTTTTGGTAGTTCTTAGGACAAGGTAGAAAAATAAAAGAAACCTTTGCCCCAGTTTTTTTTTTCCTAAGATTTTCATGTCATGAGGCTGCTACTAGATAAGCCATTACTGGTAGCACAGCAATAAGCTGGTCCTCTCCCCCTGCAAGCCCGAGACTCCTCAACCACAGGGCACTGAATGCACAAGGGGCAGTCGAGAGTCTTTTGTTGAAGTATGTAGATTTTTCTACTGTTCATCTGTGATGCCCAGGAGGAGGCCAGAAGTAGGTTTGATCCTCTCTGGAGGCAAATGCTTAGCGTTACCAATAAGATTATGTCTACTTCAGAGTGCTTAACTCTACTGGCTTTTATTTTCAGTCCTTAAGAAGCTGGTGTGGCTATCAAACCATAATTCCATAGATTTAAGCTACTGGAGTCACCAGCATGTGAAACTCACTTTCATTCAGTCATTTTCAAAAGAGTGATTGCTTTGAATGAAAACACAAGCCTCTGGGTGTGTCTATGAGGGTGTTCCCAGAAAGGTTTAACTGAGGAGAGAAAACCCACCCTCGGTGTAGGCAGCAACATCCCATGGGCTGGACTACATACAAAAGAAAAGCTGAGCTGAGCACCAGCATTCATCTCTCTCTGCTTCCAGACTGTGAATGCACTGTGACCAGCCACCTGTGCTCCTGCCATTATGCCCTTGTCAGCATGATGGGCTGGATCCCATCAAACCGTAAACCAAAATTTAAAAAAAAAAAAAAAAAAAAAAAAACCTCCCAAAAGGTCAATATGTTTCATAGATTTATCTCTGTTGCCCTTGGAGTTTTTTGGATCATGGAATCACAGGGGCTGGAAGAATTGTGTGCTGTCTCAGCAGGAGGAAACACAGCACCTCTTCCTTTTGGAGTTCAGAAAATGGGCTCTTCTTTGGGTTTAAAGCAACTCTGTCCCCTTCCACAGTAGATAAAATGTGGTTCAGAATTATGATCTTATTTACAATTAATTTTAAAACCAAGATATTTAAACTATGTTGTTTTGTGTACATGGAGCTGATCATTTTTTACTCTTTAGTCAATTAACAGATGCAATTTGTAAGCTTTTTGAACCACGAAGAAAGTTAAAACCCCAGCGGAAAGAGAGAAAAAAAGTCACAGTGCAGAGCGTCTCTGATGGGGATATTAAGATTCTTGTCAGGATCCTGAGGGCTTATAACATTCCTACCAGAAAGATGGTATCTAATAGGTAAGGTAACATGCTCCAGCCTTTGCAGTTGCAAAAGATCAATCTTAAATGTGACAAGCATCCTTGTTATTTCATTACTGTTTTGGTACATAGTGGCTGGAGACATAGCTCCATGGTAAAGCATTTGTCTAGCACATGCAGTGACCTGGGTTTGATGTCTTGCCCCATCCACACAAACCAGATGCATAAAGATGAATGAAATGTAAAGCACTCATTTGTATAGTCAAACTTAACTGTAGATGTCACATATTGAGAGGTTTCATAGTAGTTCAATGGCAGAAGTGCCTGCCTGCTGTGCTCAAAGCCCTAGGCTTAAGGCCCAGAACTGCTGAAAACAAACAAACAAACAAACAAACAAACAAACAAACAAACAAAAACTTTTCAGGAGTTTGAGATTTCCAAAGTAACTTGGACATAAAGGTTTTGGGGTATTTATTTGCCACATGCCCATCCTCCACATTATCAAATAAATTCCTTTGGCTCCTATTCCCTGTTGTGAATTTGTAGTTTCTTCTGTCAACCACACTGCTCGCTGTCACTGTCCTCCCACTGTACTGGAAGCAGGAAGAGGAATAAAGCAGGTGAAATGCTAATTTTGTTTCAGGAAATGTCTAGGAAAGTTGTGGGATGATTGTAGAAGACTCATGAGGTCAGAATTGCTAGTTACAGCCTGTACTAGTTTGGATTTGTGGGTGACTTTACACAGCCTTTTGCATGTATACCAAGTGGATTTTATTTGCATTTTTTCAGACCAGAATAGACATTACCAATGGCATGAATATTTAGTGCTCATGTGTATTTAATATGTCCTGGGTATTTAGCGTCAGGTGTGATTGAGAAGTATGAATATTTACTACCCAAATGCCTCAGGAATACGGGGTACCCCTCTCCCTATTTACCACAAATGTGTTCCACTTGCTTGTTTTAGGCTTAGTACACGCCGCCTGATTCTACCTGGGAAAAACAAGCATTTTCCTTACTGTCTGTTAATCTATATTTAAAATCTCTTAAAGGTTTTGCCTGTGTTTTATAAACTACAACCATATTTGTTAATACAATCGACTATTTTTACAAAAAATGCACATCAATGGCTATTTGTAAAATAAGGACATAAAAAACCCACTACCATTGTCTATAATATTATTCTGTGAAGGAAACTAGTGTAGCACCAAAAAACGGAGTGGGAAATATATATTCTCAACATATCACTTGGCTTCCTTTTTTCCTTTGGCTTAAAACCAGTGAAAATGTGGTCATAGACTAGATCTAGTTTGTAAGTCAGCAGTAAGGAGCCACCCTCCAGAAGCAGTGATATGGTATATTTAGCTCTGACCACCAATACAATATGACAAAAACTCCCTAAGATTCATGGTAACTCTCCTGCCTGCCAAAACTAATATTAAAACTAATTAAAATATGTCTCAATGTTGTTTTTCCTAAAGAGTTTTGGATATGCCTACCTATTTGAGATCATCCTTGCCTTGCCTCAGACATCAAGAAACAATCAGATCAGTAGCCTCAAGTGAGATCTTAAATGAGGTAAGTTTTTTAATTTTGTAAAGTAAAATATTGATTCTGTTTGCTTTCCATTACAGCTGGCTCCCATTTGGTCTCTTCATCACTGTATTCTTTGGACTTCAGTTTATTTCCTCTGACAAAGTAAAGATGTTCTTTTAAAATGTAACTCTGACACTGGAGAGATGGCTCAGTGGTTAAAAGCACAGGCTGCTCTTGCAGAGGACCCGGGTTTGGTTCCCAGCACCCACATAGCAGCTAACAACCATCTGTAACTCCAGTTCCAGGGGATCTGATGCCCTCTTCTGATCTCCTTGGGTATTGCACATGAGTGCACTTACACACATGCAGGCAATACACTCATACACATAGAATAAAAATAATAAATAAAATAAAAATAAAAGTAACTCTTAACCATTTCATTCTCTACTCTCAGGGTCTATAGAACAAGGTATAAGCTCCTGGGAATAGCTCTAGAATATTTGATACTTTGGCTCTTGTCTACCAGATAGCCTTATATCTGTCCATAGCACAGCCATATACTAGCACTTGTCTACAAGGCCTCTGGTAATTGTTCCTGTTTCTGGACATGGCCTCCACCCACCTCCATGTTATTGACCAAATAACCACAGCAGTGTTTCAAAGCCTGAGTTCATGCAGTGTTTTGTGATGCTCTCCTAGCCCTTACCCCAGAAATGTCTGCTTTCCCGAGTAACAACTGAATGCATTTATTTCCTTTCATTTTTCGTGTGTCATTGCACATATCTCCCTGTTTATTTTTCCATGGTAGACTTTAAAGTCCTTAAGTTCCTGACTTAGACCAATAGACTAAGATCAATAGATGTTTATTAAACAAACAACTGAGCAATGGCTATTTGAAAATTAAATCCCCAGTTGCCAAATGATTTCCTACTCTTTTACTTTTCTTAATTATGTAAAATATTACATAGTCAATGTTTATCATGCATTTCAGGATACTACATACCCTTTCATAGAGGTTTCTTTTCAACACACTGTATATCAAACCAATACTGCAAGTGGATCTCATCCATCCTGGAATGAAGAAATTAAAGTAGATTTTACGTAAGTTGGAGTCCATTTTCCTGCAGCTCCTAGTCAGAGTAATTGTGTGTGCATGTTTGTGTATGTGTAGGTAGGTGTGCCTGTGGAGGCCAGAAAACAACCTTGGATGTTGTTACTCAGGTATCACCCACCTTTTATTTGAGACAGGGTGTTGGGGAGACACAAACAAATGTCTACTCACTTCACATAGGGAACCAACCATGGACCAAAGATGTAATTCCACCAAAGTCCCGCTTGCCAAACCAATGAGTTTATTGGAGTTACTCACAGGAATGTGGGTGAGTAGTAGGTTACAAGAGAAGGGGTGACTCAAAGGCAGCTAGTCACCAGAAAGCCCACCCAGCCTGGCTGTGACTCAGGAACGTTGCAGTCCTGGAACTCTGCACAACCTGTGAGTGGCTTGAAAGGTTGGAGCATCTCCTTGGCTCAGCAGTCTTGCTGCTAATATAACCTTAGGGGAAGGGGACTTTGTGAATCTACTGTTTCAGGGACGTCCTGAGATTTGTGAGTTACTTCCTGAGCCTTAAGATGCTTCCCTCTAGAATGGAAATGTTTCAATTCAGAGACTCTTGCTAAGGACACAGACCGCTGAAGTAGGATAGGCTGGCCAGCCCAGGGAAAGCCCCAAGAATACACCTATCTTCTCCCCAGCACTGGGACTACCAGTGCACCGCCACAGCCAGCTTTTTTCCCAAGGGTTCTGAATTGAATTCCGGTCTTCATGCTTGCAAAGCAATCACTTTACCAACTTAGCAATCTCCCCAGGCCCCTGAAGTTCATAAAAAAAGGAAGAATAACAAAATTATTTTCTGGAGTCATTTATTGAAAATGATTGTTTTATTTAATCCTTTAAATTATAAATATTAAACCATATAAACTAATATATAAAGTATTCTGATGACAAATAATAAAATGAATATTTGTGCATCTACCACCCAGCTTGAAAACTAAACTATAACCAGTATCTGACAAGGCCCTCTGTGTATTACCAAATTACATCTCTTTTATGTCCTCCCATGAATTCATGTTCATCATTCTCTTCCCTTATGATTTTAGTTTCAAAGTATTTAAGACATAATTCCCCAGCTATAGTTTATTTATGCCCAATTTGAGCTTTATAGAAATTGAATCATATCTATATATCCTACAATCTTGTTTCTTTACTATTATTTTTAGTGATTTTTATATACTCATCTTTATATTGTAGCTACTTGCTGTGGTCTGAATGTGTCTCCTAAAATTCATGTGTTATAAACTTAATCTTTATTGCAACTGTGTTGTAAGATGGAGCCTAATGAGAGATACTTAGGTCATGTGGGCTCTGCCCCTTATCAATGAATGGATGCTGTTATTTAAAAAAAAATGGAGCTGGAGAGATAGTTCAGCAGTTAAAAGCACTTGCTGTTCTCGCTGAGGACCCAGGTTGAGTTCCCAAAACCCACATGGCAGCTTACCACTGTCTGTAACTCCAGTTCCAGGGTATCCCACACCCTCTTCTGACCTCTGTGGACACGTAGTGTGCATACATACAAGCCACGCCTGTGGCACCCAGCACTGAGGAGGCAGAGGTAGGCAGATCTCTGTGAGATCAAGGCCAGCCTGGTCTACATAGTGAGTTCAAGGCCAGCTGGGGTTACAGGCAGGCCCTACCCTCCCCCCCAAAAAAGTAGCTAAGAAAGGCATTCAGGAGTGGGTTTTCCTCTTGAGCTATGTGAACAGACAGTAGGAAGGCCCTCACTAAACACCATGCATTGATTTTGTACTTCTCAGCTTCCAGAACGGTAAGAAATAATGTCTTTTCCTTTCAAGTTACAGTCCCGAGTGTTCTGTAATTGCAGCAGCAAATAGACTAAGACACTTTGGTTCATCTATTTTCATTTGGATATGATATCCATTGAATGAAAACATTGCCGTTTACTCACCCTTTTTTCTGTTGAACACACTTGTCCTGCTTCCATTTTCTTTTTCTTTTCCTTTGCAAACAATATTGCTTATGCATTCTTATCCTAGTCTTCTGAAACACATGTGTGTTTCTCTTTAAGTCAGTGGCTCTAAACTCTTTTGTGTATTATAATCACCTAGATATCTTCTCTTGAAACACAAATGCCTAGATTATCTTCTTACTTTCTAATGTCATAGGCTTAGGGTGGGTCCATTACTTTCATTTCTAGCAAATTAGTGTAATGTGTGTGTACTTAACCAGCAATGGATTTTGTTTACTTACTTTAAAAATTTTGAATTACTTGCATTTTATATAGAATGAGTAAAAAATATATTCCTGCAATATTCTTGCACATAAAATATTTGTTAATGAAAGTTAAGAAATTAAATTTCAAAATGCAGAAAGAAATATGTACTTGTGTTTCTGCTTGCTACAAAGAAGAAAAAAAATAATTATAGACTCAAATAATCCAATAACTAAGTATGCTTAGGAACCCTTCCCCCAATGACCCAGTAGAAATGGATCAAATTCCATATCTACTCTCTAAGATTTCTGAGTACAAGTTTCCTTCATCAAGTATCTGTAGCTACTAAATACCTAAACATTTTCAGTAATATAAGTTTATTTTGAGAAGTGAGAAATTGATTGTTTTCTATGAATAACATATTATTTCATACTTCATATGATATCATTACATAAGATTATTTATATGATTTGTATGTTTTATCTGGTGCCTATGTTAACATAGATCCCCTACCTACAAAGTCTATGGGAACTCAGAACTAACATAATCACCTGCATATCTGGGGTGACATCTTGTAGTTTATGTAAGCATTTGTATCCAAGCTTCTACTTTTCAAAGTGAAAGCTTCCAGACATTAACCACGATGTATAAGGAGAAAGAGAAAGAGAGAGATTGGAGCGGGGGCTGGGAGGGACGACGATATCCTGTTTATGCCATAGATTTCAATTTGAGGAATAAAACCCTAATGGACCAGTACCCCTTGGAATTTTGTCAGCTGAAGTACTATGGGTGCTTCTGCAAATAGCAGAAATCGACTTTATTTTTCTAGATTCAACACTAACTCAATTATATTTCCAGTCCTTGATCAGAGCTTCTAAGCAGATTTCCTGGTTATCTACCTGCCCTTCTGGATGTTGTGCCTCTTGTTCCTGATACTTACTTTCTTGACCTTCTTATTCTGCCTGTTTAAAGGAGAGAGTTGTTTAAAGGGGAAATCTATTATATTTTAGTGTAAAAATCCAGTTAGATGATTCCTATATAGAGTGTATTTGCTGAGAGCCAGGCATGGCAGTACATGCCTGTAATTCCATCAAATGGGAAGCTGAGACAAGAGGACCCTGAATTTGAGGCCAATTGGGTCTACACAGCAAGTTCCATGCTGGCCTGGAGGAAAAAGTGAGATTGTCTCTTCTTGAGCCTTGAGGTAGAAAAGAGGGGAGGTGGAGAAAAAGAAAAGAAAAAAATGTGTTTGCTTAGAAAATTATCAAGTAAGATATGTGATTATGAGTGCCTGGGAATATTCGGATTATTAGTTTAGACTTTAAAGTTAGGGGAAGTCTATTCTTTGGGGTTGTTTGTTTGAGATAAGATCTTGCTTGCTATGTAGCCCAGACTGGCCTGGAATTCACTGTAAACTCAGCTGGCCTTTAACTCAAAATCCTCCTGCCTCAGTATTCTGAGTGCTTGGATTATAAGCAGGTGTCAGCATACCCAGCCAACTATGCTGTATTAAAGTAATTGGCTTAGGAGAACATAAAGTAATCAGTAACATAAATATATTTGTAAGTGAACTCAGGGAAGACTGGATTGCTTATATTCCTCAAGTTTCGGCTGTGAGATAAGCCCGAACCACATTGGGAATGCAACAGGACCAGCAGGTCAGCTGAGGGAAAATCACCCAGCTGCTGCATTTTGTTGCCTCTTACATAAGACTCCAATGCCCTGTTTCCTGTGACACTTTAGTGAACAGAAACTACACACAGGGCTGTAGAATGGTATAGTGCTTACCTGTGTGCATGCAACCTTCAGTTCAACTCCCAGTTCAGATAAAAAAAAAAAAAAAAAAAAAAAGCTGCATGAAAATGGGACAAATAGTAACAGTAAATGGCGAGCCCTGCTTCAGAGGAGGAATTGGAACAAAATTCGAAGGAAGTTTGAATAGAATACAAAATGCAAGGACTTGACGGATTTAGACTCAAAACTTGAAAAATGTCTAGAAGTAATTCGTGTCTTTTGTCCTGCTAGCAGAGTGCTATAAATCCCCGTTGCTTCCACGGCCCTGCCTTATGAAGTGAAACCCCCTGAACGAGCAAACTGGGGGAATCAGCTTGTTTTATCACCTAGAAATGTTCAATATCACACGGAGTATTCAACTTGAGATTGTTCTTTAAATTCAACCAGTGTTTTTCAGTGGTAACTGCAGACAGGTATCAGAAACTTCTAGAAATTATTGGAGGTTCCTTGAAGTAGTACTTTCTTCTTTAGGCAAATGATTCAATAAATAATGTCAGTTGCCATTATATGGTAAAAATGTAACCAGATGGAGTTCTGGGGTGCTTGCCAGTCCTTACATATGGCGAATTACAAAGCGCACATTAACTCCAATGAAGAGTAAAAGCCACTCTGAGTCACACAATCTTTTCTAAGTTTAAACTTTACAGAAGAAAAGATCACAAGTACTTTATTGTAGTTCATGAGTAATGCACTTAGAAAATAAACAGATTTTGGAAAAAACTTAGTATGTTTTTCTTATTTTCAGTTCACCAGGACATGATTATAGCTTCTCAAGTTTATCTAAAATAAAAGATAATATATATATCAACATTTTTGATGAAGTGATGATTGAAAAACATGAGGTAAAGTAGAATAATTATAATAACTAATGTTGAAATAATTATAAGAAGGTCAAGCTGAATGACATCAAGGAGCATGCTTATAATTTGTTTGTTTTTGAGACAGGGTCTCACTTTATAGCCTAAGCTATCCTTAGGTTTACTATGTAGCTCTGGCTGGCCTTGAACTTGCAATAGTTCTCCTGCCTTAGTCTCTCAAGTGCTTGGATTACAGGTGTATATCACCACATCTGGTGTAATTTGCTTTTAATGCAATATATGCAACATCTTAAAAGGATTTGAATCAATGTGCAATAAATTCAGACACGACAAAACCACTCTACACATTACAGATCACAACATATAAAGAGAAAGGATGGTAAACAGACCAAGGACTTGGGAAAAGTAGCCTTTAGTGATTGGACATTATGTTTAAATAGGAGTTTCTTAGTAATAAAGACAGAAAGAGAAGCAAAAAAAATACCACATATTTCTCATTATCTGATCAAAGAGCACATACCACTGCTGTGGTATGTATGGTACAAGACACCAGGTTATTTCTAGGACGAGAATTCTGTTGTATTTTCTATAATTTCTAAAATTAGCGACTGTCTTCCCCATACATTGGTGAAGATCCTAACCCAATGCCCAGCACCATAGCAAATTCTGCAATAAATGTTAGTTTCCTTCCTACATAACTTGGCACTAAAAATGTAAAGATGCAAATCCACTGGAGCTGCTCTTTTGGGGTAGGTAAGTTAAATGCTTTCATACAAATGACTAAAACTCTATGGAAAGTTACTAGAATAAAGTCCACACTGCTCACTGCCTGAAAGCCAATATTCAGGAGATGAGAATTGGTAGGAAGGAATCAGATTTGTTCAAGGGCCTATAGTTAGGTGGGTACTGGGAATCAAACCTGGGTCCTCTGAAAGAACAGCCAGTGCTCTTAACCAATGAGCCATCTCTCCAGTCCCAATCTTTTCTTTTGTAAAAGTTTAAGCTTAGAAAAGATTGTGTGATTCAGAGTACCTTTTACTCTTCATTGGAGCTAATGTGCGCTTTATAATTTACCTTGTGCAAGGACTTGCAAGCAGCCCAGAACTCTGTCTGGTTACATTTTTTTCTATACAGCTGCTACTGACATTATTTATTGAATTTTTTTTTTACCTAAAGTACTACTTCAAAGAACTTCTAATAATTTCTAGAAATTTCTGATACCTGTCTGCAGTCACTACTGAAAAATAACTTCGCTTTGAAGAAGATGAAGGGGCTATCCTCAGAGCTCTATCTTGCAGAACTCAGGTATACAAAGGGCTTTATCAGTAAAGAAAGGGGACATAGTGAGCAATAGTAGGCAGGTTACATGCAGAGACGGGTCTCTGTCATCTAGGGAGTGTGTCTTCTTTTTTTCTTCTCTGAAACATTGCAATGGACCTCAACTACCTGGTGCCAGCTCCTGTACTTCCTCTATGATAGACATCTTACTTTCCTGCAAGTTAAATCTTACAGCAGTTTGCATGCTGCATTGTGTTACTGATGAACAGAGCTAAGATGCATTACAAAGGTATTAAGATACTTTGGGTTATGTAAATCTGAAGAAATATTATTTAGTGTCTTAACCATTTAGGAACTTTCTCTTACTGATGTGTCCAACCCCCATGGACCACGTGAGTCCCAGGATAGCCATTTGTAGATGGTAACATATCACAATGTCAAATGGTTGGATATATTTGCTTTAGAATTTAGAAAGCTGGGGATAAAGGGGTGGTTCAGCAGTTAAGAGCACTGACTGCTCTTGCAGAGGACCTGGATTTGATTCCCAGTGCCCACATGGAGACTAACAACCGTCTGTAACTCCAGTTCCAGGGGATCCGACACCTTCTTCTGACCTCCGCAGGCATTGCATGACATGGGTGCACTTACACACATGCAGGCAACACACTCATACACATAAAATAAAAATAATAAATTAAAAATTAAAAAGAATTTAGAATGCTGGGGAAACAGGAAGGGAAATAAACCTTTCAAAGGATTGGAGTAGGGTGTGCAATGAGCTTGTAAAAGGCAACAGGAAGGGAAGGAAAAGGGGCTCTGCTGAGGACAACTCCCTGAAGAATTGGCCCTGTTACCACAATTCTATTGAAGCAACAAATAATTCTACCTGGATGAATCAAAGATCCAGATCAGAGAAGATGAATGTGACATTGAGGTATATAGTTAAGGAGTAGATCTTCTGTAAAAAGTACTGAAAGAAATCTGAGCAGTAATGTCTTCGAAGAGTTTTCCAGGAGAGAGTTACAAATATTCTTATTAAAACTTATTCAAACTTTAAATCAGGCTGAGGGTAAGATCTTAAACAGTAATTTGGTGATGCCCTGTATCCAAGGAGTTAAGCTAAGCACTTTTCTGATTCTAAACCAATAATGGGTTGAGTTTAGAAAACCCAAAAGAATGACCAACCTTTTTTTTCTCAAACATGAAGTATCTCGGTGACTAGTTTGATCAGAATGGAATATCAGATGATTAATAGTTGAACTCTTGTGCTTTGCATTGTTATTGGGTTGAAATCTACAAGTCCTGGGCACGAGATTTAACTGTGACAAGGGCGACATTCTATTTAGAAGAGGAAAGTGTCTTGTATTCTTGACCTCCCCTGTGAAATGGATTGTAGGGTAACTACATTCCATTTTCTCTAAAAGAGACTAGAACTAGGCAAAACCACAAGATAAGCACCCATTTAAAAGGCACTTTGGATTTATTATTGATCACTATTCTGTCCAGAAATGCAATTTTCCTCTTCCTATATTTTTCTTCCTACTATCAAATCTATCTTACTTCCCTCTAATCTCCCCTTGTTAATTATGTGTTAGCGGTAACCTGAGGACTCTCAAGTCTCACAGACACATCTCGTATTTTTAACACTATGGATGACAGAGCTGTTCTGTCTTTGGGTTGGGGCTAGGCACTCTAGACTTGGAGCCTAGGTTAACTGAAACTGTAAAATAAACTTGATAACTACACATACGCACGCACACACATTGTAAATTGATCTAGTGCTCAGGTGGTTTAAATGCTCATAAAGGAGGATCTCTGTGAGTTCAAGGCCAGCCTGGTCTATGTAGTGAGTTCCAGGACAGCTGGGGCTACAGGGAGACCATGTCTCAAAAAGACCAAAAAAAAAAAATGGAGAGAGGAAGGAGTGGAAAGGAGGAGAGGGCAAAGGTGGGGGGTGGGGACGGTGAAGAAGGCCAGGAAAGGAAGATTGTTTTTAAAGATTTTCACATCATTATCAGCAGAGTTTTATAATCTTTGATATACCCCTGGTTATCCTCTTATTATTTTTTTAATTTTTTTCTCCTTTTGAAACAAGGTCTCCCTATAGCCACAGCCATTCTGGAGCTTGCTATGTAGACCAGGCTGGCCTCGATCTCACAGAGATCCACCTGCCTCTGCCTCCCAAGAGCTGGGATTAAAGGTGTGCACCACCATGCCCAGCACCCTCTTTTTATTTCTAACTTTAACCAAGTGTGTCTAATTTTTTCTAATTCCATTGTGTCTTTTTTTAAGATAGGGTCTTAACATGCTATTCAGACTTACCTGGAACCCAAGGTGTTTCTGCCTTAACCTCCCAAGTGCTGGGATTGCGGGTGTGCACCCTCTCACCCAGCACACTAAACTCTTTGAGATCAAGGAGCTCTGAAATAAAAGGTCTTATTGAGATATCACAGCTTCTAGTCAGAAAGTACAAGATCCTGGGGCGAGTTCCTACAGCTACCAGCAGCAAAGCTTAATAAGTGAAAGTGATGTGGATTGTTAGGTTCTACCAATGGGAGGGATGGAGGAGATGGTAAGTGGTAAATGGCAGTCCCTCCTTTGGTCCTCTACCCATACTTCTAATTTTAACATTTTATTATTATTATTTTGGTTTTTTGAGACAAGGTCTCACTATGTAGCTCCAGCTGGCCTGGAACTCACAGTATAGACCAGGCTTGCCTTGAACACACAAAGATCCACCTGCCTCTGCCTCTGAGTGCTGGGATTAATGGCATGTGCCACCACACCCAGCTAATAGTATTATTGAGGGGTCAATAAGTTAACGGTAATCAGTGCATATTTAAAGTAATTTGACAAGTTTTAACACACATATACACCTATGAAGCCATCATCACAATCGAGATAATGAATATAACCATTGCCCTGGAAAGTTTTCCCCTATGTAGTTGGTGTATCTTCCTCCCTTCTCTCCCAGCCTCCCATGCCAGACAAGCATTGATCTGTTTTCTGTCACTACAGTTTGTATATTCTAGAATTTAATAGAAATGGAATTACTTCATAAACCAATGTATATATGAATCCAAACATCATGTGATGCCTCATAAACTATGCAAACCATAAAATTATGGACTGGGGATGCAACTGAGTTGTGCAAGCGCCAACTAGAGTTGTATTAGCCTACAAGAGGCCTCGGGTTCAATCCCCAGCACCACCAGAAAAGAAAGAAACAAAAGAATGATTTGTTAGAGTTACATGTGAGTTCGTGAAGGTATTCATCCTATAAAATCAGCTTATGGAAAACATTTTCTTACATTTAATTTTGATTTATTTTAATAGGATCATTGCCTCAAGAGCTGTAGTACTCATTCATACATAAGAAAGAACTGGCTTGGTTCCATCAGCTTTCCTTTCTCTGTTCTTCTACAACAATCTGAGGTAACCCAAAATAGTTTTTTTGTTGTTGTTATCTATTCCAAGATTTACTTCTCAAAAAGAAGTAAAGAAGCACTTTCTGATTTTTTTTAGTCAGATCCTGTGATTGACAGGTTAGAAAGCTATTAAAATGATCCTATATTAATAAGTGCTGTGGAGTTTTAGAGTGTAAAAGGGTTTTTTTTGCTGTCTATAAAACAGAAGACAGATATTCAAAACTTATTTTTTAAATATCTTTAGAGTGTTTACTAAGAAAGAACAGAAAAGCTAGCCTTATGTCTTAAAAAAAAATTTGTATTTGCCTCAAAGACCTTTGTAAGATCTGACCCATGAGATGTTCTGATTAACAATGGACTTTGTAATCACAAGTGCCAAGAACTTTATCTTGTCAGCATTGCTTATCCATTATGCTGAAGATGATGAGACCTGGTTTCTGGAAGACCCTCAGGGGGCTCTGCTGTTGGGCTGTGACACTCCATTTTAGAGTAGGTCACTCACTAACTGAAAGATCTTAGGCACCGTAACTGAAATCTCTGAGGCTATGCCAGGCACTGAAGATTTGAAGAGTTGGAGTGAATTTCCTACCTAACAAGCTTACTGTCTATTGGTGAAACTAGCATTTTGGTGCACTGTGATACACTGTAGTTTTAGTAGTGTAGGATAGCTTCTGTGAGTCTACATAGGGGAACTTCACTCTGTCTGGGCTACTGGGGGGATGGGGGCTTAGAGAATTTGGTAGTGAGCAAGAGGAGAATGATCCAGTAACTTGCTTTTCTTTCTTCTGGCTCATTTAATTAAATATTTCAATGAATTTCTTAAGCACTGGAGGTCATTTTTTGTGAAAAATGAATCAGGTGTACATTAGTTAGGACTAGATTAGGCCATATGTAACAGAGAACTACCCGTGACTGGTAGAAATCAGAGGTCCATTTACCTTACCTAAAAAGAAGTCCAGATGCCAGGGGCAGCTGTTCAGGGATATTATCAAGATCCCAAGCTATTTGTATCTTTCTCTTCCACTGGCATTGTATATCTTTTATCCTCATAATTGTAAAATGTTCCCTGCAACTTCAGCCTCATACCTTTATTAAGACAGGAGGCAGGGATAAGCAAAACAGGCAGTTCCCACATGCCCCACAGACTTCTATTTGAGACAAGATCTCCTTGTAGCCCCAACTGGCCTGGTCTTGATCTCATAGTGATCCACCTGCCTCTGCCTCCCGGGTGCCGGGATTAAAGGCGTGTGCCACCACACCCAACCTTGCTTGAGTTTTATTTATGTGACCACCATCCTTCTGTCCTGGTAATAACTAAAACCATTAGTTTAACAAAAAAGTAGCAGAGCAGAGACAGTAGGTAGAAGAGTAGGACATTATGGGCAGTCATGTGAAGTCATGATGGAGCAGTCCACAGATAATGGAATCTAAGTTGTTGGAGGTTTGGGCTCCTATATTTGTAAATCCTTGCAGACAGCTCTCAGTTTCAGAGCAGGCTATATGTTACAGAGGTAGTTCAGAAATGTGGGTTTCAGGGTGGGCAAATCTGGATTGTAACCCTGGCTCCCCTTCTCATTAGTTCTATGATCTTGTACAATTATATTATTTCTCCTAGCCTCAGATTTTATCCTTAAAGGGTGGTATCTATCCCATTGAATGGGGCCATCTGCGTCACACACTTGGCACAGTGCCTCACACACACTAGGGGCTGGGTAACTATTAGCGGCTGTTGCTACTGTAATTCACCTCTTCCTTACTCTCTTACACACATACAAGACCTCTACTCCACTCCTGTAAACCTTATTCAGGGTTGTTTTTCCTGCCATTACCTTTTTTTTTCTTCCTGGACCCAAATGCAAAATGTAACATGATCTTTTAGCATCCTCTTTAAACCCAAATTAGGTTTCCCAAGAGCTTTTATCTCAGTGCCGTGGTGGTACTTTACTTCCTCCATTTCTCACTTTTGCATAGTACAAATTAGTCAGGGACTGAAGGTGTTAAGAGTGCCTATTGATCACCCCAGAGATCCTGATCTTGGGCAGGAGCCCACCTACCTGTGTAAGCCAGGTCTCTCTTGTGGGGAAGACTGATCTGTGGTATAGTGTATTTGACTGATGTTGGTTTTCATCATGTATTCTTTCAGATTAGTGGAACATTTCAAGTAAATATCCCACCAGTTTTGCTGGGGTATACTTGGAGTAAGACTTACGTATCTCCTAAAGAGGACTGCAATGGGCAGAATTTAAAAGACTGTACCTTCTTAAATATTTTTGCTACACTTGAACCTCAAATATCATATATCACCTATAATCCAAAACCAGAAGAGGTAGGTTTTATACTAAACTATTCTGAACAAATCATCAAAGAAATGTAGACTATTTTTTAAAACTGGTAATAATTTCAAAGCCAGCAAAGGCAAATATCAATTCTTGGTATTTTCTTAAGGGGAAAAATGTGATACAATTTTGAACTACTTTACATCTGATTCTAGTTTACAGATCAAATAGATGTTTTGCAGAGAGCACAGACTTTTAAAAATAATTGTAAGGCAATATTTCCTAACCGAAGAATTGTAACCACTGTTTTTAATGATGAAGGGATACAGATCTTAGTCACAAGATATATCAAGCCATTAAATCCACCTCAGCAGCTTCTTGATATATTTCTTCATGACTCTAATGCAACGCTTGTAAGTTACAGTTATTTCTATGTTTACTGCTTCATTGAGATTAAAGGACATGTATGAAGAATCATGTATATCTTTTGTTTATTTGGGGTCAGTCTAGGTAACTGATATTATTTGTAAGCTATAAAACTCCCTTAGCCGGACCCTTAAAGCTAAAAATCAAAAACCCTAGTTTAGGCTACTTTACAGCACTCTGCTTTTCCGTCATTGGTTTCTTTCTGACTATGGGTGTTAACAACCAAAATCCAGGAGCTAACAGTTTTCTCAGATAGTTGTCAAGCACTGTGAACCTTATGTATTAATAAAGTCAGTAGTGTCAAAGGTACATAAAGGGTATAGAGGTACATAAAGGGCAGCTATTATATATCACTTAAAGTATTAATGAATTTTCTGGGTTAACTCTTTATTTATAGTCCTTCCTCCTTTCTGGCCTTGGAGTCCTGGTGTACAGCATTCTAGGGGGTTGGGGGGACTCTCCAGTATAACCTCTGTTGTTTGAGAAAGCAGATTACACCACTGTCTCCTGTTGTAGCATCTTATGCAAGTGTGGCACCTCTCTCATCATTTTCTGCGGCTGTTGGGAAGTCACAGGCTCTATATTTGAGTGTGGACTTTCCAGTGCAGCTGTAAATGGGGGGTGCCCACCCCTTTGTAAATAAACCCCACCCTATGCTATGTTAATAAAAAAAAAAGAAAGAAAAGAAAACTATAAGTGTTTGGATAGATAGATGAGAGGGATCTGACTAGACTGCAAGTGGATGGACTTGCACTAGGGAACATCTGGGGGCACTGACTTGACGTAGTGGGCCTTAACACCCAGGGCAGAGGATATGGTTTCTAGTGGGGGGGCTATGGGAGGGTCCTGATGGGGATGGGGCTATAAAGATGATTCAGATTGTTTGAGATATTCTGTATGAAATACAACAAAATTTAATAAAATAACTTTAAAAAGGGAATTCTGAGGAGTTTTAGAGATGGCTCAGAGATTAGGAGCACTTACTGCTCTAACAGAGGACCCAGGTTTGGTTCCCAGGACCCACATCAGACAGTTCACAGCTGCTTGGGCACTTGTATGCACATTGGTTCACATACATGCACTCAGGCATACACATCCACATAAATTAAGATAAATGTAGATAAATCTTTTTTAAAAAGAATTTTTCAGGGGGCTGGAGAGATGGCTCAGCAGTTACGAGCACTGACTGCTCTTGCAGAGAACCCAGGTTCAATTCCCAGCACCCACATGGCAGCTGCGAACCATCTTTAACTCTGGTTCCAGGGGAATCCAATGCCCTCTTCTGACCTCCGCAGCATTGCATGGCACGGGTGCACTTATATACATGCAGGCAATACACTCATACACATAAAATAAAAATATTAAATAAAATATATATTTTTTTTATTTCTGCTTTTTATTCTGTACATACATCATATAC